ACAACCTCACCCAACCTTGACGACGACGGCGGCGACGTCGATCTGTTCCGGAGTTTTCGACGGGGAGAAGAGGAGGAAACCAAAAGTGGCAGATTACTCGACCTCCTCGTCCCACTCACCAGAAGTACTGTCTCTTCTACGTTGGTCACTCTCCCAAGCAACAAGCGCCTCAGGGGACTCAAAACCGTGCAGCCTGGCAATCTGTAGGACAGTGAGCGATGGAATGTCGACGATGGGCGAGTTAGACGGCCGGGCAGCTGCCGTCGCAGGGGGGGGCCTCCACAGCATCAGCGTTGGGGCCCGACGCCCCACCAGCCGCCCCCTCCCGAGGGCTCACAGCCCAGCGAAGGACCCCAAACAGTTTTGATCTCCTGCGTTGGCCCAGGCGGCGGCCCTGCCCAGGTTGTCCTGGGAAAAAGACCCAGACTGAGTCGAGACCTCTGGGTCTTATATCCCGCGTGAGGGGATCCCTTTGAAATGTCCAACGGGCCCCCTCGCGCATGTTGATGCGCTGAGGCACGGCAAAACTTGCAGAACAACAGATCAGGAAGCCTATCGCCACACTCGGCCTGGACTTCGGCCTCAACAGCAGAATGTCCTCGGAACTTCCCCCGGGCCCAGAGGCTTGGGGGAACTCACTGGGCTCAGGCGGAGGAGGCGGCGGAGGGGGCGGAAACGGAGGCGCCGCAGCCCCCGCAGCCCTGGAACTCCCATCAAAAAAGGCGCACCCCCTCTTCCTGGCACAGCTGAGAAGACGCCTGCGGAATCTCATCCTCGAGCTCGATGTCTGCTGTGCATGCGATGCCGTGCGAGCCGGGCTGCTCGATCCCCCCGGAAGCGGCTTGGGCGCGGCCGTCCCGCGGGACGCAGTCTCGAACAATTTTGTTACATCTTAAAAGAAGCAGGGGCCTACCCCCTGATTATGCCCCACAGCAGAGCTTCCTGTCGGGCGAGCTTGCCGGCCGCTGTCTTTCCTCGAGCGAGCCAGATCCTGATCCGTCCTAGCATCTCTCACTGACTGGTGCGCTTTGACCTTGCAAACTCGGGCCTTCTGCCCGATGCTGTCCCACTAAATGGTCCAGGGTCCAGGAGTGACGCCTGGGGTTACGTGGGGGAAGTCAGGGCAGCTCCTGAGTCATGCGCGCGTTCCACCGTACCAGCGCAATCGCCAACAATTTCGAGCGGGTCTTCGTCACTCCACTCAGAGTGGTAATTCAACATATGGAACGCATAGTCCCCCCCGTCTCTGGCGACCTGGGAGTGAGCAAACCAGACTGGCGCAACACCGTGCGTGGCCGCCTTGAGCTGGCCCGCGCGGTCGACAGCCGCGACGACCCATCCAACTCTACTTAGCCCAGTATGGGCCGCGTTGAAAGCGCCCCCCGTCGACGAAGGCTTGCCCTAAAAAATTCCAACCAGGAAACATTCTAACAAACCTCAGCTAGTTTTCCTCGGGCGCCTCGCAAAGGGGAATGACAAACTCTGGACTTGGCCAGAGACAGCGCGAAAACATCACAAACGTACTCACTCAGCCCTCTGACTAAGCTAGCAGCTTGCTTGACGCGGGGTGAGCAACGCCCTCTGCGAGTCTCAAACAGTCTGGGGCGCAGGTAGAAGCGATGGAGTAGTCCCGCGGTCTCCGCAGTTATCCGAGCAATCATGCCAGGCTTCGCCGCGAAGTGGAGGCGGCCTGAGGCCAGCGGCTGCCTCCCACAAGCGAACGCATGGCCACCCTGGCAAGCAGCAGCAGCGGGGGCCACTTGTGGAAGTGAGATCCAGAGGCTGCAAGCGCTGAGTGTCGGGCTAGATCCATGACGCACCCAAGAGAAAACCGAGTCGAACTTAACCTACCATGGAACGCGCCGCTGTAGACAGTGGCGCTGGACAGGGAGGCCCCGCAAAAGGCCTGAGAAGGCCGCTCTGCCTGAGCTGGGTCCACGACTTGAGACCAGCGCCGAGGCCAGGAGAGGATCCCGCGGGCGGCTTCCAAGCAGGCCTCTAGAAGCCCTAACCCAGGCAGCTGAGAAACAAGAGAGAGCCCAATTCTTTGCCAATTCTACTGCGTGAGCCACAGTCGGATCCCTATGAGCGCCCTCGACGTGGAAGCCTCGGGGCCGCCGAGGTCGCCGGGGGCGCTCTACCCTCCGCGCGAAGGGTGGCGAGGCGGAGCGAGCGAAACTTCCGCTTGGAAGTGCCAGTGACAGCCGAAACCCAAGCCGCCGTCGCCGTGGGAGACCCTCATTATCGTGCTGACACTGGCGCCGGCTCCTCTTAATTGCGCGACGCGCTGAACGGCTTCCGTGGCCTCGGCTAGACGCGTCGTTCCAGCGCAGACCTAGGGCCTCCGCTGTTTGCGTCAGTCCCTGGACACCGACATGCCAGCGTGCGCTGGTTGGTGCAAATCCCAGCGACTACCTCGGACCCGGTCGAGATCGGGCGCGGTGGTCATACCCAGTCTTGTCCCAGTTGACCCTGAGAAGCTTGCTTTGCAATCCAGAAATAGGGTCCATCATGGTCGCTGGGGAACGCTCGAGCACTTGGGCCCTGCTTCCTATCTGCAACAGAAGCTCGTCGACTCAATTCTGGAACCTGACCTGAGGACAATCCAAATGTAACTTGTTTACCACGATGTGCACGAGCAGTTGGGCGAGGGCCAGGGCGCCGCTGCGCCGGGCAGTTGGGCGAGGGCCAGGGCGCCGCTGCGCCAGGCGGCGACAGCGTCGCTAGCAATCGCGGGCTCCGAAATTATCGACTCCCAGACAACGCGCGAGGCAAGCGGTAGCTGGGGCGCAAACACCTGAGGAGCGCAACTGGGAAGCCTGTGGGCCGCGCTTGCACGCAAAAAGTCAGCGCGCGAGATGCGCTCATAATATCTAGACAAATCGAGAAGGCCACTCGCTGCATGGAAGCTTCTGGCGCGCGCAAAATCTGCATGCTGTTGTGAAAATGACTCGCGCGATCCTAGGTGGGGCCCGAGGGCACCCAGACTGCCGAGTTGTCCAGGGGGAGCTCCCGCTTTCTGGCCACGGGCTGCCCGGGCCTGGACCGAACCCGCCCCAGGCCGAGGCCGGCGCAATGGGTCTGGCCCCGCCCGCAGGCGCAGGCTTCCCAGGGGAAAAATCAGGAGCCCAGGTCCAGAGCATCGGGATCGACTTCCCTAGTTGGGGGAGCGTCGACGAATGCCCGCTATAAAGAGACTGGCAGCCGGAGCAGCTGATGCGGATGAAGGCGGCTCTGGCCTAGCCCTGCCCAAGCAGGATCAGACTGCGGGGCGCTGTCGAGGAATTCGCTGGCCCTTCCAGGGGGCGCGCCCTAGGGGCCCGGCGGGCCCGAAACGCCCGGCCCCCGCGGGCCAACGGCGCAGTCCGCGCCAGACAGAGCGTCGCGGCCCACACCTGGGCCGCAGCTCCGAGGATGCGCTTCGCCATCTCGCCGAGGATTGATCCGCGGCGGCCCCCGTTGCTCCCGAAGAAGATCAACCGATTGCAGGCCCGACGCTGGCGTCGGTGGCTTGCTATCACCCCCGGGGGGCGAAGACCTGGCTGGGCTCGCGGGCGCAACGATGCACCGCGCGGCCGCTCAACTCGGGGGCCGCTTCTTAAGCCCTCGCCTTTCACTTGGCGCTCCTAGACTCGCTATCGCGCGCCTGCAATGCGCCCGCCCCCCTAATCAAAGACAGGCGACGCCGGGGATGCTCCGGCCCGCGCCGATGGCGGGCCCCCCGAAGGCCAAGCGATTGAAATTCGCAAGTAGGTGAGCGCCTGCTGCCTGCAGGCTGCCGAGCGGAGGCCGAGGGGAAGGGGGGCCACGGCCAGCGCGCGAGGGGGGGGCCCTCCCTGACGTCTTGCTTCCAAGCCGTCCTGATCGCCGCATTCACCGCCCCCCGGGCCCGCGCCGCGCCCTGTCCAGCCGCGGCGGCACCGAGTTTGGCGTCGCGCAGCCGGGCCAGGTGAGACTCGACGTTGCCCGGCCGACACTTGCGCGCCGATCCAGGATCCTGAGGCCGCTGCCGACCAACATTCCAGACCCACTCATCAGGCTATGCCACAGGAACAGGTCGACCTGGGAAAGGGGCTTCTCGATGGGAAACTTCTGAGGACGCACTGCTCTCGATCCAGCGTTCCCCGACGAAGCCCGAGAAAGTGATGGCGATGGGCATGCGCGTCGTGGCCGTAGAGCCCTGCGCTGCTTCAACTTTGGAAGCAAAAGGGGCGATCGCGTTAGAGTCGATGCCGAAGTCTATCTCCCTGGCCGCGCACGTCGGCTCCATGGTCGGAAGATATCAACCTTTAACATGCCTGGCCCCTTCCTCCGATTCATCCACGAGCATGTTCCAATCTTCCAACAAAGGCCGCGGTCCTTTGAGCTTGCCGATGAAAGCGATGATGCCGTCGAGGCGATCTAGGTTCTCGCCGCTGAAGCCAATGCTGGTGGTGAGGTAAGCCGAACATAACAGAGAGGCAACGCACAACCGATGTTGGTACACATAGCCGAAAAACTGTGGGGTGGTATCAACTCCGACGAGCAGGGAGTGGGGAGTGCCATTCTCCTCGATGAGACTGCGCATCCGGCGCTGTTCTCTGTGCTCCCTATACCCTTGCAAATAGCTGGAAGAGGAAGAAGATGAGGTAACCCACGTCTGGGCGACCACCTGCATGCCGCTTGAATCCTCTCCGCGAGCTTCAGCGAATGCTCCTGCATATAGAACACGTGAAAGAACGAATGTGCGGATCCATTCCGTCAGCATATGCGCCGAAGCCCATGTGTTAGAATTGTTGGACCATGGCGTGAAATCATCGACTGCGTCACACCCGCGGCTTTTTGGAAACCTTCTGGAAGCCTTCAATGAAGCGTTTCACACCTGTGGGGTCTGTACCGACTCCACAACTTCTGAGGTGCTGGAACAGGCCTGGATCCTCGGCACCCCAAGCCATGGCGCCTGGAGAATTCTGGGTAGGAGGAGCAGACCCGCCAGAACCACTAGACCCAAAAGAGGCGGCGCTAGCAGCTGACGCGCCCTCGTAAGGCGTGGGCTCACGGATCGTCGCATTGACCACCGTGGTCTTGGCGGTGGCTTGTTTGCTGAAGTCGATGAATTCGAAGCCGAACCTCTTCGTTCCCGTGTCCAGCAGCTTACTGAACATCTCAAGGAACTGCGGGTCCGAGACTGGGTTTCCTGGCTCTTCTTTGGTGCCGATGTCGGGGAACACCGTCTTGGCTTGCGCGTCTTTGACGGCTTGGTCGATATCCTCGAGGGACTTTGCGTGCCTCTGGTGGATCTCGACCTCCGCCTGGTGATCAGCCCGCGCCTGCTCAAAAACCTCTGCCGCCGCAGCGATCCCGTCCTTGGCGGCCGCGAACTGCTTCTTTTTGCGGGACTTGCGACGGATCAGATCCTGGAGGCACTGGTGGACAGGTCCGTGGGCGCGACAGTAGCTGCCTCGGGTGCAGCCACAACGATTCTGACTTCCTCCAAGACTCCTGCCTTGACATCCCCTCCCAAGCCGCCCTTCTTGGCCAGGATGTCTAGGATCTGGTCGACGCTGGGCTCGGGTTTGGAGGTGACGCTGCCGACCGATCCCTGCTGCCAGTCCTGCCTGGACCACCAACCATCCTAGCTGGCCCAGCGGGGCCAGGTACAACGAAAAGGTCTTTTGCGCCATTGCCCGTGGAGACGAGGCTGTGGCTCTGACGTGGGCTGCTCTTTCTGTTGATTGAGCACATGCTGCGGGGCTTTGCATCCACACTGCTTGTACTGTGCACGAAATCCAAAGCTCTGGAAACGACATTTCGGGTCCCTGCGAGCCCACACCCTGACATGCTGACCATCGCTGCCGCCCCTTGCCATGACATGTTGGAAAGCTCTCGCCGCAACGCCACTTCCAAGTGCGCAGTGGAAAATATCAACGAGATCTGGACATGGCTTGAGCCAAAATGGCTGCAGTGGTGAGGAGGATGAGGGAGAATTCGCTTGGCTTTCGGGTCATAGCTCGGCTTTCCCGCGGCTTTTCGTGACGATCCTGGCGCCCCCGGATCGCTCTCCACGAGGCGCAACTGATGGAAACTACCCCGGGTCTCGTAAACGCTCGAAAACTTACCTTACGCCGAGCACCCCCGGATCGCATTCCACGAGGCGCAGCTAATGGAAACTGCCTTGGGTCCTGTAAGCGTTCGAAAACTTACCTTCCGCCGAGGAGGGCGAGGAGGAGGACGACGACGACGACGCCGACAACGGCGACGGCGGCGGCGACGACTACCAGCCTCGTCACTCGGCGCCGCCTCCAGGGGCCGCCGCGCCAGCCGCGGCCGCGTCGCGCCGCTCCCGGTGGGCCTGCGGCGCTCCGCTGGCCCTCGGACTCAGCGAGGTCGACGACGACGCCTCCAGACTTCCAGGCTCAGCAAACATCAAACACCGAACATCAAAATACATGACAATCAATCATCGTCACCACTACCAATCATCATCATCATCATCATCATCATCATCATCATCATCATCATCATCATCATCATCATCATCATCATCATCATCATCAACATCACCATCATCATCATCATCACCATCATCGTCATCATCATAATCATCATCATGATCATCAGGATCATCATCACCACCATCACATCAACTTTATCGGCATTATCAACACCATCATCATACACAACACCATTATCATCATCACCATCACAATCACCATCACCACCAACACCACCACCATCATCAGCATCACCATCACCATCAGTCCGCACAAAACATCCACACAAGCCATCAACATAAACCATCATCAGCATCATCATCATCATCAAGATCGTCATCGTCATCACCACACCACCATTATCAGCATCAGCATCAGCATCAGCATCAGCATCAGCATCAGCATCATCATGATCATGATCATGATCATGATCATGATCATGATCATGATCATGATCATGATCATCATCATCATCATCATCATCATCATCGTCATCACCTGCAACAGCATCATACATTATTGTCGAGGTCGACGACGATGCCTCCAGACTTCCAAGCTCAGGGGAGACGAAATTTCGAGGTTCGAGGACGTTGTCGTCGGTTCTCGGCAGCCTTCCAGCCTCAGGATGCCTTCCAGCGGCTGCGCCTCGCCGAGAGCGTTCGGGGGGGCCTGGGTCGTCGACGACGCCGCGTCCGGACACCAAGACGCCTCGGGACTCGACTCTCCGGCGGCCGTTCGGGGCCCCCCGTCCTCCTCATCCACCCCCTCCTCCTCGGCGCTCGTGTGGCCGCCTTGCGCTCCGCCCGAAGGCGCTCGATCTCCTCCAGCTCCCGCTTCTTCTCGGCCTCTCCTGGCTGCTGAGACCTCCGTTCGGGGAGGAGCCGAGGGGAGCTACGGGAGGAGGCAGAAAAGTTCCTCAGATCGGGGCGTTACAACTTTTCTCATCGGGCGTTTTCGCTCAGTTTCGGATCGATGCTCGAACAATGTGGCACATAGCTGGGGTCTGCGGCTCTGGTCGTGATTTTTCGCGATGTTGCAGTATTTCTCTCGGCGTCGGATCTCAGGGATTGACCAGGAAGCCGAAAGGTGGACGACTCCCAACTTCTCGCGCTGCGGAACGATCACGACGTTTGTGGCAACTGTCGGCCTCTGGGGGCCGTCGCCAGGCCCTGGGACCGCGACAAGACGGCCCGGGGCGCGCAGCCTATCCAGGGGAGGGGGTCCAGACCTCCAGGCGCCCACGCTGCGAGGAAAATCACGACGCTGGATTCCTAAGGAGGAGGCCCTTTTTCGGACGCTGCGAGAATGCGTGTCCAGGCGTGTGAGTATGGGGGGTGCCTGCCAGCAGCAGCGTCACTAGGAGCAGTGTGGTGGTGGTGGTGGTGGTGGTGGTGGTGGTGGTGGTGATGATGATGATGATGATGATGATGATGATGATGATGATGATGATGATGATGCTGATGCTGATGATGATACTCATGATGTTCATGATGATTATGATGATGGTGACGGTGGTGATGATGATGATAAGGATGGTGATGAACGCGAACATGTTCCAAATCCTTCTGTGATTGATCTCCCTCTGGCCTGCGAGCCGCATCTCCTGACCCAGACTGAGGGGAAAACCAACCTGCGATGGTCGCTCCCGGCCGCCCTCGCGTTGCCAGGGCGGCGGGCGCGTGGCAGGCCACGGCGAAGTGCGCACGGGAGGAAGAGGAGGAAGAGAGACGCAGAGGGACGACAGGAGGGAAGCGACGACGACGAGGCAAAGGAGACACCCGCCAGCAGCACACTCTGTGCCCCGGGCCAGACATAGCACGCAACGGATCGCACGGCCGCGGAGTATCAAAGACGAGGAGGGAGCAGGAGCGAGCTGGGAGACGGAGGAGGCCAGTGCGCGGCCGTGGGGTGTGAGCCATGCGGCCTCACCGTTTGGCGCACGAGCACTGGACTGAGGCAAAGAGCGGGGAAGGAGCGAGAGAGAGAGATGAGGAGGAGAGAAGAGGAAGTGAAACCAGCCCGCCAGGCCCACAACGGCCACCGCGAATACCCAGAGGAGGGATCCCAGGCATGCCTGAAGGCGGGAAGGGAGCAGACGGTCTGGAGGGAGGATCGAGACCGGACCAGGGCAGCGGCGGGGGTGAGAATTGAGTAATAGGTCTGTAGTGCATGGCACAGCGGCGAGGGAGGAGCGTGGCCGAATGGGAAGGACACTGACGGGAGAGATCAGAAGGGGGAAGCAGAGACAACTGGCGGATGGGGCCAGCAGCAACAGCAGGCAGCGATCCGGAATGTGGTGGAAGGAGACGCGTGACGAGCACTGGGCTCAAGGTAGAGAACTCCCCGAAACAGTTCGAGGAGGGAGGACCATTTGAAGGTCTCCATGCCTACGATCAGGACGGTGGACACCGCGAACATTCCTCACAGCTCCCTCCCTCCCTCTCCCTCCCTGCCCACTCCCTCGCTCTCGAGCACTCTCCCAATCTATGTTTGTGCTTCCCTATATCTAGATGTGTGTTCCCCCCAACTATGTATTGCTACGGTCTGGAATTATTTGTTATATATCTCTGTCTCTTTATAAGTATGTGTCTATGTAGGTGGGTTTAACTATTTCTAAAGGTTGCGTGCATATAGCTCTTGCTTTACTGTCAGCTCTCTCTGTCAGTGTATACACATATGGATCACATCATCTCTCTGTGCACATATATGCACATGTATGGGTTAGTCCCTCTGCCTTTTTTGTTGTCGTCGTCGTCCTCTCTCTCTCTCTCTCTCTTTCCCAATCTCTCTACCTGTGTGCACATGTCCGTCTGTGCCGGCCGCTTGGTGGTAACTGCTTCCGACGCAGCGGCCGTGCTCGGCCAGTTCGAGGGCCCGCGTGCTCTCCCCTCGCGCGCGCCTGCTTCTCGCCTCCCCGTCCTCCTCTTGCCTCTGAAGACGAGCCCTGGGCCGTCCGACGGCGGGGGCGGGGGCGGGGGGCGAGGGGAGGGGGGAGGGGGCGAGGAGGAGGGGGCGAGGGGCGCAAGAGGAAGCGAGGAGGGGCGAGGGGCGAGGAGGAGGCGGAGGAGGAGGATGAGGAGTGAGGAGGAGGAGTAAGGAGGAGGAGTCAGGAGGAGGAGGAGGAGGAGTGAGGAGGAGGAGGAGGGAGGATAGGAGGAGGAGGAGGAGGAGGAGGAAGAGGGGGAGGAGTGAGGAGGAGGAGGAGGAGTGAGGACCCATGCTGACTCTCTGCAGTGCCTGTCCGACTTGGCTTTGCAGCGCCTGCCCGGCTTCGTTCCTAGGAGCACGCGCCTGGCCTGCGCAAGTCGCCCGCGGGCCCGCCTCGAACCGCTTTCGGGCCCGCGCCAGGCCTCGAATCTCCTCCTGCTCTTTCTTGAGGGGCGGGGCAACGCTAGGGGGGACTGGCAGAGGGGGGGAAACATCGATCTGCCATTTATTTAGACTCGGCTTGACCGCAAAGGCCGCCTCCCCGCACATCTCTTCAGTCCCTGCCGATGGAGCCTCACTCAATGCAGATACCTGTAGCCCACATTACGCCTGAAAATTTGGATTCCGAGCTGAGAAAGATCGCCTGTCCCCTGCAGGGCAGCGAACACAGCAAGTGCCAGCTGGAGACCAGACACTTCGGCGGAACAAAAATCGGCCGACCCTGTCGGCGTGTGGAAGAGGCTTTGTTGTTGGCCCCATCTTCCTCGTCGTTCCTTTTTTCCCGTTTCCATGCAGCGTCGTCGCTTCTGTCCCTTCCCTACAGCCTTCTCCTCCACTGCGCCCGTCGCTTTCTCTCCTCTCCTAAAACCTTTTCCTGAAGCGTGTCGGTACAAACCGAAACGGAACAACGTCGCCTCTGAGTCAAAGGGAAGCCCCTTCCCTTTCTTCCCTTCCCCGCCAGGGGGGGGGGTCCCTGGGGGGGTCCTGGGTCAGATACGCCGCCCTCCCGGCGTCGCTTCTGTCCCTTCCCTACAGCCTTCCCATGGATTTCACATACGTGTTTGACAGATTTTGGCGTTCTTGCCTGTTCCGCTTCCCGACGCGCCAAGACGGCCCAAGAGGCCCCCAAGGTTGCCCCGAGACGGCCCAAGAGGCCCCCAAGAGGGTCCCCTAACGGCCGAAGAGGGCCCCAAGACGGCCCAAGACGCCTCCA